TGTATGTCAAATGATAAGATTGTACAATAAATAATGTATCAATACTTAATTTACGTGTGTAAAGTTTTCAACGTTGTTCTTCTATTAAAAATTTGATTTTTATGTCAATGTCATATCAAATAATAGAACTCTTAATCCTATGTCTTAGGAGCCTTTGTTTAGATCAAGTGGTCAATGAGCTGTAGGTACAGTCTTGAGCTACGATTAGCAATTCTCAAGTGGTCACTGCACTGTCCTTGCAGTCTCGGAGCCACGAGAAATATCATTTATGATTGGAGTCAGATAGTTCCAATCAATTATAATTACTAAGCCATAGTTGTTTGGAGTGGGTGGGCAGGGAGAGAGCATATAGCTGGGCTACAAATGTATGGCGAGCGATAGTGAAACCAAAGCGAAGAAAAAATAACTTTACAGCTAATTCACTTTATACCTCCAAAAAATTTCTCATTACAAGATTATTAACAAATTATTTCGTCATAATTTAGTAATTTTACCATTACTACATAATTAGTTCAATATTACTTCATTTTTTCAACTAACGCTATTACGTTTGTTTTATGTAACAGAAATCCCGTGATCTCGCAATAATGCTGACTACGTCACTTCGTTGACTAGTCAGTCAGTTTAATATTGATGTAACACCAAATTTGACTCCATACAATATATTAATATCAGGCCTTTATTTTTAAAGTAAAAAAACTCAATAAATATAGCGTAAATATCATAATAAATATGTATATACTTATTATTCCAGGCAGTATGTGGAAAATTATCACGGAATATCATTATTTTCTTTTTTTGCTAAATAGAGAACATATGAAATTCATTGATAGTTTTTTTACATGCAGCATTTAATTTTTTTCATTTATTCAATAAAATTAACAAGGTTTGAACGACAAATTACAGTAAATATTTTGGGATCAATTATAGAGGAAGATAAGAATTTTAAACGAACACATTTATACAGAGTGCGTAATTGGTCAATATAAATAATATGAATAGTAAAGATCTGACTTTATGATTAGCATGATTGTTTTTTGGGGTACAGTACGTAACAGCGGAAGAATGATATTATCGAAATACATAATGCACACAATCTACGATTTACGCTTTACATTATTCAAAATAAATATTTATCCGGTAATCTAGAACCCTAATAAATCTGGGTCGAGATTCTCAAACCATTAATGATATAAATTTGAAGATCAAAAATGGCATCCGGAAAATGTGTACCAGGTTGGTGCGCCATAGCTGAATAACATTGGATTTTTCAGAGATCCTTGTCGGAATGATTTTTAAATATGTTTTAATTATATTGTCATTTTATCGTAAAAATGCAGCGAGTACAGAGATATAAATTAATTTATTATATGTTAGATTATGTGGAACTTAAAATTTTTCGCTTTGTTACGTACGTACATAAATAAATATAATATTAACTAGTCTTCAAAAAACAAAAAAAAACACTTATATTCATAGATCCAAATCATTATGATAAAATTTGTAATTTTTTCTGTTTCAATAAAATTCTCCTCAATAAAATTTTGAATTCAAACAAGATTTGAATGAAATCCAAAAAGTAAGCAAAGTACTTTAT